CGCTCTCTCTCTCTATAAACTGGCGAACTGATTCATACACTGTTCCCGATTCTTCTACCGGTGGTTTAATTCTAATGCTCTCAGCATTTTGTAAAGAATATTTAAACCCCGGAAACTTGGTGAATCGGGGCCAGTCAGGAGCCACCTTGAGAGCCAGTTGATGGCCAGGAGCCTCCACTTGACAAGCAAACAGCCCTTGGAGTGTAAGTATTTTATTTTATAATAAACCGTAAAAACTGATTGATTTGTGTATTTTTCCCTCTCCGCAGCCAAGCGAGTAGCCCGAAGCAATAATTTTTTTTTACCAATTAATTTTAGTATTTTAAACGGCAGACGTGACAATATTCTTTTAGCAAAGGATATATTCAATCAGTTAAACATACTGTATAATACCATTTTCAATACCTTGCAGGATATCGAAAATTCAATAACATTCTGCAGATTAATGTATTGCATCCTAGTATAATTAAATCTAGCGACTTATTTCTAGAAATCCAGAAAATCGAATTTCATTATGGTACCACCTTGCCTTTTGAAGTCAAATATGAAAATATTTTAAATTTTGAGTCTCTCTTAAAAATTCATTGCAAAATAGACCCAAATCGAATAACATATTTCTTATCAATCCCTATCTATTTTGAAAAAGAATATGACTTATTTAATATGCTATCTATACCAACAAGGCATGAATCACTTAACGATAATTCCAAACACGAAACTTGTTTTAAAAGCCAAAAATGAAGGCACAATTAAACCTCTATCCGACATGTGTACCCAAGGTAAATGGTATCACTGTCCGAACAGTCTACAAGCCAACTACAGAACACCCTGTGAAGAAAATATTCTCTTAAATCAAAACTCTAGCGGTTGCCGTTTCATTCGATTAAAAATCGATGAAAATCACATCGAAACTGTACCCGAAATTAACCAATATTTGGCTGTATTTCCAAAAGAAGAGAAAATCGAAGCCCAATGTCAAAAATCGATTGAAACTATATCACTCGCAGGTATCTACCTAATTAAGAAAGACTCCTGTAACTTAGTATTCAAAGGACGAAAATTAAATTTTCAAGAAACAAGTTATGGTAAACCACTCATAGTTAATACAGTTCATCTTCAGTCAAAAGTTCATACCCGTCCCAAATTTAAAATGGAACTAAATAAACTAAATCTTAAAGAGTTACCTACCGATCATATGATGCCGATCGAAAATGAAGAAGAAATTCACAAATAGCACTTGCCAAGTCTTTGGACCATCATCCTGTATATTTTACTAGCAACCACTGGTGTATACATCTGCATAAGATGGAAGAACAAAAGGGCAACAAAGAAGAATAAGGGCAAAGAAAATAAATCAAATCAAGACAAAGGCAAAGAAGGAAATAAAATCAGTCTCCCAGGGGATGCTTCATTCTGAGGGTGGAAGAGTTATATAGGGTCAACTACCCGTAGAGTTGGAGAACTGGGAGCATCGACATTGCTAACATGAGCTGGACAGCCTAGGAATGCTGTGTCATCAATTTTGGACAAGTGGACGGCAATAGCCGTTTAAATCAGTCTGCATTAGAATCTGACACTGTAATTACACAGGTCAACATTTGATCTAAGCGGGAACACCGTAATCGGTATAGGCTACTAGGGGTTTCTGGGGTCGCTGATTACGATGAGAGGGTCAGTTAACCTCCGTCACGTCAGGTTCAAGGTCATTTGAAGGTCAAATGCAGAAAAAGCCATGAAATAATCATGGATATGTTTTTGAGGTCGTACAATCCGAATATGAGGTCAGCTAAGCTCCACAAGGTCAAGTTCAAGGTCATTTGAAGGTCAAATGCAGAAAAAGCCATGAACAAATCTGAAAAAATCATGGATGTTTTTGAGGTCGTACAATCCAAATCTGAGGTCAGCTAAGCTCCATAAGGTCAAGGTCAAGGTCATTTGAAGGTCAAGTGTCGAAAAAGCCATGGTAAAGTCTGAAAAAAATCATGGATACGTTTTTGAGGTCGAGAAATCCGAATCTGAGGTCAGCTAAGGTCAAGGTCAAGGTTATTTAGAGGTGAAATGCAGAAAAAGACATGATAAAATTTGANAATTCGTAAAACAGTAATCAAAGTAATAATTATAGTTAAAAAATAATAATTTTAATTATTTATGCTAGATGTTCTAGATTTTTTGATTGAAAGTCAAATATAATTATTAATTTATATGTAAAATGGGATCTTCATTTCAATCATTAGCGCAATGCATAAAATTATTTGAAAAAAAATACATCAAAGACGTATCAGCATAAGTTAAATTCAATCTTACCGTTTGAGCCAGGAAAAGAAACACTGCTCTAAACAACTGCTAAATTTTGTAACTGATATACATAAGTACATATATTTTGATAAAATTAAATACATACATACATTATAAGACAACGAAAATATGTTTAGTTCTTTATTTTTGTTCTTTATTGTTTCTTTTTACTATTCCTTTTTTGTCTCGTGAGGAGGTAGTTAGATATTTTAAAGCTAAGCTAAGCCGGCGCTACACAGCATGGCCAGGCTGAGCCAACGTACGATTGGTAAAGTTGAGCCAATATGTGCCAACTCCAATGTGTGTTCTCCACACGGTATGACCAATATAGACCAGGCGGTATCTGTTTTGGTTTGGGTGAATCGTATATCCACGGAGATTTTTGGCTTTTTGACTTTCAAATATCACTAGAAATGAAAATTTTTCTATGCGCATATAAAAAACGTGGGCTTAACTTTTGGCGGCACAATATGTTAAAAAAATTCGAAAAATGTCACATTTTTCTTCCTATTTAATTATGTATCTTTTCAATAGTTGATTTTAGGCGAAAATGGAAGAGGAAAAAAATGTTTGTAATTAAATTTTTTACAAAACATGACTAGTTACAAATCGAATGAATCATGATTATTATGGTAAAAATCGAAAAAATCACAA